GTAGAATGCCTGTTGCCATTGGCAAAATTATCGTCGACCTGTTGAATGTTAAAAAACCGCAAACATTTTCTTATTGTGATCACGCAAACAACTATGGCATTAATACCCTGTAATAAAACTTAAAAGAATATTATGTTAGCAATTTTATAAAAATCCAACAAATTAATACATACCTCGCCGAAGAAGACGATGTTCTGAACTGCGATTCAATGTACCTGTAAATTTAAAAAATGCTTTTATTAAATACTACCTACTTCCTAGTGAACTCACTTGGTCTTCATCATCACATAACCGCCAACACCGATGTATCTAAAAACGTTGCCGACTAAGTACAGCATCACTATAACGTTACTGCAAAAACGCCAAACAGCTGCCATAATTCCGCCACTTGTTTTCATTTTGTTCTTCATTTTCGATGTATCAACAGAGGCACCTTTAAACTGGAATGGGTAGAAGAGCATCGGCAGTGAAACTATGAACAAGAGGGTGCCCACTAGTACAAAACCGATCCACCATGCGCCTATAAAACGTGGATCTTTTCGGCCAAAACCAGGGTTTACTGAAAAACATGAAGCTCAGCAAACATTCTTTGTAAATAAAAAAAAGCGCAATTGTTCTTACTGAAGGGGTTCTCGTACATTCGCAGGCAAAATGAGGAGAGCATAAAACCTGAAGCCGGTCCAATTAATCTGACAGCCTGCATGATGCTCATGTAAATAGGAGACGAATTTTTTCTGAAACAATTAATGATTGTAAAAGGCTCACATTAAACTGCCAAAACCTTACCGTACAGAATCGTCAACTAACGGGTACCCGATTACAAAATAGCATGTAAATCTAAGAGTACAGTTCAAACAAATAAAACATGATTAAATTGCTATAAAACTGTACATTACCCAATGCCTTTGAAGAAGCTTCCCAAGAAGAAGATGACCACCGCCAACCAAATGGTGTTGCTTGCTCCATCTTTACATTCAAAGTTATGCCCATCAACTGCGCACATTTCAAAATTAGTTTTGTTTGAAGATAGACTAGACAAAAGTCCCGGATCGTCAATGAGATGGGTGGCTGGTCCATAGATAAAATAGGGAACAGCCATTGTGAAGCACGAAATAGAAAGAATAATCTCTCCGATGCCAATCAAGAAAGCTCGGTTGTACCGAAGTGCCAGGTACCCGATAACAGGGCTTAACACCATCTGACTGAGATTATCGGCAATAAGGATAACTGCACTCACTTTTGAATCAAAAGAGTATCTAAATTGTTCAAGTTTAGTAAAAAGGTAGTGACCACCAGTGCGAAAATTGCCTTTTTTCCAATGTAGAAATGGAGGAGAGGAACAATGAGCCAGTCATGCCTTGAACTACTCCAACTAGGGACATGTTTATCTTTGATAAATAGATGAACATAGATTGTTATTTTTACTGTTTTTATTTTGTAAAACTTACCAAAAAGAGAAGTGGAGATGAAAGTGGTTGCAACCATTTTGGCCGCCATGAGCCGATTCCGCAGCTGGTCAGTGCTGAATCATCTTCAGCCTCTTCTACTTTTTTCACCGGCTGGTCGTTCACTTCATATGACTTTGTGTTAGAACGCATTCTTATTGACTAGATGATCTTGAATAAATGCTTTAAAGTTGTAAGAGTTTGCTTTGCAAATGCAATTAACCAAAATTAGTTTCACCGATGCATGACAGTTATTAATCACAATTATTTCAACTGCATTAAGGATGCAGACAGTTCATCAACACAAGCGACGTTTAGCTGGTAGGTCAGATGATAAGACGAAGCGAAAAGTATTTTTGCAACAAACTGTCATTTTCAGTTTCTGTAAAACAAATAAGACACTTGTTATCGCTAAGAAAAAAACACTGCCAATGAACAAAGAGGGATGTCAAATTGTGCCTTTACTTCAAATGGAAAAAGGCCGAGTGATTAAAAAATCCGACAGAGATAATCAATATCAAACTAGTGAAAAGAAAACCTGCTATGAAATTGACAGATTTGTTTTTTAACAAACGTACATTTTAACTACAACTTTGGCTAGGAGTCACGATAGATTACTTTATTCTACAAAGAGCAAGTGAACATTTATCATGGGAAAACTCAACAAAAACTTAAGCATTATAACTGACTCAAGTCAAAAAAGTTTAAAAACAATAAAAATGTTACTTGCTTTAGAAGTTTTAATCAATGTTAAAGGTGATGATACAATTTGAGACAGTCATCTTCTGACACTTCAAAAGCAACAAGTAAAGCTGTCAATAATCACACTGAAATAAATCGTGGGTGCTGAATGATGAAGGGCTACTCCAACTGGCTGTGGCAGTGTACAGTGGCAACTTGCAGTTAGCCAATCAGAACACGATTGCATAAAGTACTTTTTACTACTTATCTTTTCTAACAGCGCCACCGCAGTTTCAGAAAGTTTCAGAAGGACAACTGAGGTAATGACGAATACTAGTCGGTACAGTCACTGAAACAGGCGACTGCGGGAAACATGTCAGGCCAATGTCAAATTCAGTTTTAAATACAGCAACTCGCCGGTTTGTAGAGAAAGTGAACAAGTGAAAGCTACAAAAACGGTAATTAAAGGATGACTAGGAAAGGATTTAAAAATGAGCACAGAAAAGTGGTACCAAAGTACAGTTGCATATACAAAAATTGTACTACTAATGACTTGTAGCACTACAGTGGATCAGAGTACAAACTGAACTGCGCGACAGACGAAAGAGCAAAAGTTTACGTGAGAGAAACCTGAAACAAACGACCGGAGAAATAGACAGCAATGCACGATGCAAACATGTAATGTTTGACATTGATTGGACTTTAGCTTTTAGTGAAAGTGGTGAAATGTTTGTAGAGCTATTACTGCCTGTGAACTATTTGAGAAGAAGTTTAATAAAAATAAGAACACGAGCCACTAGGTTAGAAACAGTTGGCAGAGTGAGTGTAAGTCACACTGCTTACAATGGTATATGTAGCAATAGAGTGGCAAACTTAGAACTTTTAGCAGGGAGGAATCCATTGTTCACACTGCCCATAGAAACTGTTTTTTCCGCTCATCAGTGTTTGAAACAGTATTTTGCAACAGTAATTAAAAAGGACTTGGATAAAAATGCTCAATTCCCAAACTTATTGATTTTAATTTCTTAAATTTTGAAGTTACTGATAATGGTCACTTGGGTTTTGTTTCTTAAGAGAACTCAGTTAGATCATCTGTGCCTCTTTTATCTAAACAATGCGCTTTTTATTAGTTATTTTTTGGTAATTTTGTATTTACTTTTCAACAATTGTTCATTGAGTCATAGTTGTAATCAGTAGTGGACATTAATGCACCTTGACAAACCTGTTGTCTGTTGCATTTCACGTGTTTTGCATGTTTGTGCTTACTTTTGATAGCAGCTCATTAGCTTTCCGCAAACTAAAATTAAAACACAAAAAACAAAAAAATATGAAAATTACTACATTTAATGTCATATTGGAATAACATTTATTGAAAAATTGCAATTTTATTTTTGTACAATTAAAACTATCTAAAACTTATCAATAGTATAGGTAAATAACAATAAATATGATTGTTGATAATCAAGCCTAGAAAAGCATCCAAACAGTGAAAATGAGCATTACATAGAAGCACAGCACAGCTGAGAAAGAGTTCATCAAAAAGAAAAAGAATGCTTCGTAAATGTTAGTGCACAAATTGGTAAGGCTGCCGTCAATTTCCGTTGATAATGATTTGCATTCAACAGTATTGATAATTTTTGACACCGATTCTGACACGGCTTCCATTCGGTGAAGAAGCGATTCAGTTCCAGACCCTTCACTGCCAACAATTACGTCTTTTAGTTTATCAACATTTTTCTTAATATCTTCACATGTTTGATTAAGATTCACACCAGGAACGGGATGATTTTGAATGTATTTACCGCATAAGTCTTCAATATTACTGTCCAGCATAGAAAGTGTTGAATTAAATGTTTGTGCATTGTTCTTAGCTATGTTAACGTATTCCTTAACATCGTTGAAAATTTGGTTGAGATCGAGATTAGAAGTATTGAAGTCAGGAACTTGCATAGCATTTTCAATATCAACTAGAAAGTTTTGCTCAAATGTGGGTGGTGTAACACTGTTCGGTGGCGTTACATTGCAATACAGGTAGTAGTCAAGCACAGGTGTGTCCGCGTGTTTCTTTACCAGTGGTTTTGAGTGCATACAAAAGTCAGAACCAACAATCAACGTTAAGAAGGAAACAACTCCAAAAACAATCAAAATATTTAAAAAGAGGTACTCAAGAATTACCACAATTGACCGGAAGCAATTGTTGAATAGGCCAAGAATAAAAAGCAATGAACTGATAGCGAGAACAATGAGAACAAGGAGACTGGACAATCGGAGGTATTTTGTAACTTTTGGGCATTCTTCTTTTGTTTGGTCAATGTAGCCTTGCATTTTATCAAGTAATTCATTGTTGAGGTTTTTAACAATTTTTTCTTTGGCTTGTTGAATTTGTTTTTTAATACCTTCATAATTACTGGATATTACTTTCAACTGTTCTGTCATTTCTGGATCGTTTAGTAATGCTGCTAATTTTTCCACTTCTTTTATAGGCTGCTCTAGCTCGTCCAGTTGCTTGTCTATTTCCAACTCTTTATTAATTTTTTCTACAAACATGCAAATGGTTTGGTTTAATTAGAATGAGCTGCATCAACCCGCTCCTACTTACTTGTTTCATCATGAATTGACTTGGTTTTATTGCTGACATTGTTCACCGTTTCACACACTTTATTTGCTCCATTGTGCAGTCGAATTTCGCCAACAATGCCGACTGAAAAAGTGGCAGCACCAGCAATTGCAATGAGAAAAATCACAATTCCGCAAAAGCATGAACTGCGACTTCTTTTTTGGCCTTTATATTTAGATGTTCTTGAAGTAGCTGAAGAACGGAACATGCAATTGCAACAGCAGAAGACAATGAGAAAGACAGAAAGAGAAATGGCAAGAATGCCCGCCATTACTGCGTAAGCGGTCATTGCTTCTCTGTACTGCGATTCATCATCCAGAATGAGGCTACCAGCATTGTTGATTTTCTTAAAATTAGTTCCATAACGGGTGAGGTTGGAAAACCAAATGACAAGATTGCTCACATTGTAGTTATCAATTTCCCAAAACCCTCCTAGGTCTATTGGCGGCAAATGATTTTCAATTCCTTCGAGCTTACTGGCTTGCTTGTCCAGATTGTCCAGACTGTATTCCAAAGGCATCTTAGATTTTTTCTAGCCGTTGTTGGTGTAAAATATTAAAACTTGAAGTTTTTTCAAAGGGACAAATTTGATGAAAAAGAAAAACACAAATCATCTAGTTCACGTTTCACACAAAAATTGGCAAAAATAAATTTGCTGCCTAAAAACACAGGTGGTTTTAGTATTGCAATCAAAAATTTCACAGCAACAGCAGCTAAAAAATGTTTGTAATGGAGTAGATCCCCCGACGGTGGCATTCACCACCGGTGCTCTATGATCAGGCTGTGTACTTCAATGTTAATGATAAGCAGTTTTAAGGTGCATTGCATGTGGGTCGTCGACGACTAAACCTGCGTAAAGTGTGAGTCGGTGTTGCGTTGCGTTTAATTAAAAGACAGACAATGCTGATAAGGAATGATCGATTGGCAGAGACTCTGGTAAGGTAGGCTGCGACGGTAAAGTGTGAGGAATGTAACAGTGACATAAGGGCGACAAAGCAACATTGTCACTGGCAACCGGGCATCACTTGAGATGCATTCAAGTGTGGAATCGGGTAGATAACACCGCCTTACATATCCACTCTCCTTGTCGGAAATGTTAAACAAGGTCAGGTAGAAGTGGGCTTCAGTGGACAGTTGAGAAGCTGGTGATTCCAAGAATAGGTGGCTCATCTCCAAAAGAAGATATCAGATGAAAGTCATTAAATGTGTGATGCTTTTTTATGTTTAGCAATAGACAGTATAAAAACCAGAAGATGGTTACCAGGGAGAGAGTGAGTGATGTGTTAGCAGTGTTCGTGGAGTTGTAGCAATACTGCCGCTATGCTTACACTGTCACGGCTGCACATGTATAGCACTAGTCACCCTAGCACAATCACGAACCATCTGGGCAGAAGTATATCTGCACTAGTGCCAGTGCTAATCCACATGGAGCAACCACATCTTCCATTGGCAGGCCTTTCTCTATCTCTCAGCAGAAGCACACCACTATCGACTTGGATTGATCAGAATCAGTAAAGTGATCATCGTTGTAGAAGGTAGTTAGTTCATTACTTGACTGAGATCGCCTCAGCTGTGCCTTTGCCGCAGAAGGTAGCAAGTGGTTGTCTGGTAGCAGTCAAGCAGGACAAAGCAAATACGCCATATGGAGGCAATAAAGTAATAAATTAATAGTATGATGACACATGGGCCACGAGAAACACCGAGGTGACCACAGCAACTCAGCTGGAGCAATCTAAAAACAAAAACAGGAAAACGTTAGCAATGACTTAAATGGAAACATATCCGTAAACTAACCAACAGGGAATTGATGTTATACCTACTAGGAAATTATTTCATAAAGGTAAAGGGACTTTGGTGCCTGCAAGATCACATGAATGTAGAAACCAGTGTATTTATCACTTTCTTATTCCTTTTATCAGTTATACTAATCACTAATCCATCTGGCGGTGACTCATTTCCAACTATTATGTCAAAAGCAAATGACGTTTTAGGTTCGTACACAAACCAACTCAACAAATAATCTTTATCTGACAAATGGTTTTTCCTAAATACACGCTTTAAATTGTGTTTACAGTATCAAATCCACTTTACTTTTGTCATTATTTGTCACAAAGAGGAAATTTCTATGATACTTAGCATTCTCAAATTAACTAATATTTTTACATAAAGTTGCCGCACGAATCATATGACTCTTTTTCTGTGAGGGTTAAAAACAGTTAACTTCTAAAACAATATGAAATGTAGTTAAAAACAGCTTTTTAACTTTTGCGACTAGCGTTAAACGTCGTTCCAGAGATGCATATAAGGTGCAAGATGACAACTGAAGAGCAACTCGTTCTTGAAGACATGAACAACAGTAACAAATACTGTGCTGTGGTCAAGGTCTACTGGATCGAGCACCCACTCTCGTTCTTTTGGTCCTTTGAACCATTTATGGGCTTTTCTTTTATTTCCTCAACGGGATGATCGTCTTTCTTGTCTTTAGATGCAGGTGAAAGAGATTTTTTTGCCTCTTTGCCGTCCTTTTTCTGAAAAGTCAAAATTAACTTTCTGTTTAAAAAATGTCGACCTATACCTTTGGATCAGAAAGATTTCGAGTTATATCAAACGCAGCGTAGGCAGTTGTTGTCCAAAGTTCGTGCAACGGCGGAATACTAAAGTCCTCGGGTGTGACCAGGCCGTGTGTGGCTTTCAAGCTTTCCAAACTGGGGCAGTCTTTGGGAACTTTTTGGTGAAATATAAAACCATTTTCCCGTTCGCACTTTTCTTTGATGCGCAAAACCAGCGGACGCAACTTTCTGAAGAACAAATGCTCATCAATCTTGGCGTTCATTCCATTCTTGACAGTCATTTTCAGCTGTCCATAGTCGCGACAAAGTTTGGTAGCCAGTGCGTAGTGGCGTTCACTTTCTTCCAGAGCACGAATTGATTCACCGCACTTTTCTTGTTCTAGGAGATTCTCCCCAAGGTAGCAGTAAGCCTGCAGTAATAAACAACAAACATTGTAGAATTGTTTACAATTGCTAACTGCTGCTTACGTAAGATTCATAAACTTCAGCTTTGAGCTGCAAATAAATTAGCCATTTTCCAAAATGCTTCATATCTAGAGGCTTGACTGAGGCAGCTGCAGCTAAAAATAGTTGTGACGTTTGATTAGCAAGTGCTGAGACTAAAGAAGCGCTGTGCTTCAGCTCAATAGCCCTGAAAATTTAAAATATGTTTTTAATGCTTTTTAAAATTGTTTAAAACTAAAAAATACCTTCCAATGGTGATTTCCTGAGCTTCAGCTTGACATGTAGTGATGTATGCGCTAATAACGCGTTGGTCAATATCAGAACCGGGCGTTGGTTTCTCTAGCAATTGTTCAAGCCACTGTGTTTGAATGCAAGTAAAAACGCCAGCAGCTCGACGAAGAGATGTGTGCACAGATTTTGCGCTTTCCATGTCAACACTTTCTTGAGATGCAATCCATGAAGCATGCTAAAAGTTTTCAAATGATAGTTTTAGAGCATCAAAATTGAAAAATATTGTCAAAGTACCTTCATTAGCCAAAGGGCATATTCATAACAAATAGAAATCAGCTCAAAGACAGAATCTTGCTGTTTGTCGACAAGACCTGAGAAAGTTGAATGTATTGATTAATGTAAACATGAACAAAAAAGCATTGTTAATGTTTACCTGTAACTGAATTACTCCATTTGAAGGGTATAATGTGTCTCAGCTTGGAACTTTGAGTGCTGGCGTGATTTTTATCCAGGTCGTGACAAAGTACAAAACCCTGCAGAAAGGACAGGTAGGTGATAACTTCGTTGTGCATTGTCTCGCCATTTGCGCTTGGGTCTGACACTAGATCGAGTATTCTTTGTCGTGCTTTTGCCATAGCTGTACAGATTTGAATGGCAGCCGGTTGTGCCGAGACCATTTGTAGGCTAAAATTCTGCTTTGAAGTGTGCTTAAGCGCATTTCGATGATACCACTGGGCCATGGTCAGGTAATGTAATGATACTGATTGGTTGTACAAATATTGGTCGAATTTGGTGTTAGAGGCGCCCCAGATGACTGGTCAACGGGGACTGAAGGTGGGAATGCGGTAAGGGAGAAGGAGAACTAATTGTGCTGAAAACTTTAAAACACGCCAAAACTACTTTCAAAACCTGGCGATGAGTAATCGGGTGGCACAGATACTGTGTTCTCGAGGCATTGCTGATGATGAAAAGGGCGCTGATTGTGATTGCAGTACGGTGGCGACGATCCCCCTCGCTCCAGCAATCGAAGCGATTGACAACAAACTGCGTAATGTTGTTTTGCCCAACTCAGTGACTCCCGTCCTCAGTGCCCATGCGCGCCATCACAAGGCTAGCTAACAAATGAACAATTCATTCCAGGATTTTCAGATTATACAAATTATATTCTGATGATGCTCGACATGCATTTAAAAATATATTATACAGAATTTAAAAAATATAGTTTGAGAAGTCGTTTTCAGCGCTCTGACCAGTTGTGAGCGCATTTGNGATGATGCTCGACATGCATTTAAAAATATATTATACAGAATTTAAAAAATATAGTTTGAGAAGTCGTTTTCAGCGCTCTGACCAGTTGTGAGCGCATTTGGTACAGCGGTAGTAA